TCCGTGGCCGACCTGCTTGTTTGGGATCATTTGGCGGAATTACCTTTTTACGCATAATTTCTGGGGGCAAGTGCCATTCATCTGGATGCGGGACGGGGCTAACGGTGCTTTCGTACATCCTTGCAACTGAGTAGGTTTTCTAATGGTCATTAACGAAATCCGTTATATCTAACCCGGCTTCCCTGTTACATATCGTAAATGCACATCATATTTATAGTAATTTTTTTTTTAAGAAAAAAGCGATAATGTTGTTTGGTAAACATTACCGAATAGCCGTAGATGCATGTAAGCAAGGTAGTAGATCTGTTTCAAACACACGACAATCACATGTTCTTGCCTCTAAATCTACCACGTAGGATCGTGTTTCTTCCATAACCCTATAACGTTGCATGCCGAGTGCGGTAATGGATAGAGTACGACCTCTCTCGAACAAAGGATCCAACCGCAATTGAGTCCACTGCGTTAGCGGATGATTGCGACCCTCGGCGGATGCACGCCGAACAACAAACCATTTCTATATCGTTGCTCGAACACACTCCAACAACGAGCAAACGGGTAGCATCCTGGCCCAACGGAGATTGTTGTTCAAACTTTCGCATGAATTGGATGTCATGAATCCATAGCGCCGTACATGTGTAAAACACCTCGCCCAAGCATTTACCGGAATTTCATTAGTTAGCTTTTTAAATGCTTCGGGTTTTAGGCTTTGGATGGATGACAAGTAATGATAGAAGTTTTCACGCCGTTAAAATATGCCGCCTTGAAAAATATGCCCAAGACAGATTTCCCAAAAGGCCTCATTTGTTTTGTGATGTGATAATAGCAAAATGAATGATGCGCCTCGGGGAACACTATTGGGACAGAATATATGATAGACTCATGTCTATCCGAGACGATGAGGAGGTTATCAGGACAACCATAGGCCCTTCTCAATTGAGTCAAAAACCAACTCCAAGTCTCACGACGCTCTACATCACCAATGCCAACTGCGAGGGGAAAGATTTGGTGATTCCCGTCCAATGTGGCTGCAACAAACATAATGCCCTTGTATTTTCCTTTCAAGTGGGTACCATCTATCACAATACCGGGACACCAGCTCGTTGAAAGCCCTCAATGCTAGCTCCTAGAGCAAAGAACAAGTGTTGGAATACCTCGCCATCTCGTTGCAGTTCGACAATTGTACCTGGATTACGAACCTGCAACATGTGCAAGTAACCGGGAAGCCGCCCCCATGATTCTTCATGACCTCCATAAACTTTTTCAAAAGCACGGTGTCTTGCTCGGAGGGACACATTGTAGCTGATCGACAAACCATGCTCCTCCCGCATTTGTGCAATAATTCTCCGTGTAGATACCGTCTGGGGATTTGTATGAATAGTTCATGCGTAAATATGAGCGAGAACCTTGGAATTAGCCGAACAGTGTCGATTGTGCGTCAAACTCCCTTCGCATGTATGCTCGAGTTTCAAAGTAGTGATTCTCCATACATCTCGGTTTTCCCTTGCACATAACTTGTAAGAACACCCTTCATACCGACAAACAGATTTTAACCTAGAAGTGCAGGATTTGGGTGTTCGACACTCAACTTTTTGTTGCAAGTGATACAGTTGAATGACACAAATCAACTCTTCTTTCGAAAGAAAGACAGACCCCAAAGATAATTCTATATTGTTCGAGGGTAAGTGGATGGGTTGTCTATCTGATCCAGTTGTCGTGGGCGGCATAGGAAGGGACCACATTCGTGGCTCAACGTCGGATTGCCGGGTGCTACCTCGATTCATATATGCAAGACTTTCAACCACAATATGGTCGGTGATTAATCTTAGCTCTTCAATATGCTCGCTATACCACGCCCTGAAAAGCTTGAACATTTGCTTCTCATTTACCTCTTTGCCTTCGTCGCATGAGTCACCATTGTGCGTGTTGGTTTGGTCATCATTATTGTCATCGTCACGAGAATGACCTGGTTGGTTCGAACAACCCGCGGTTTGATCATCAGCGCCCCGAGGATATCCAGTATGTGTAAATGAACTAGGGCCTGCTTGATGTGAGTATGGGGCCTCGTGAGAAAATGCAGAACTACCAACACCAAAAGAACTCGGAAATACACCTTGGGACGCCATCATTTGCGTGAAGCTTTGTTGCGCCGTCCCCGGAACACCTACATTTACTCGCTTCTCCAACTCCACGTAAATGTTGGGAGTTTTTTGTTCTTCAATCAGCTCTAAGATATCTTCAGTGGATTCAATTTTCATCTTTACTTTTCGTTCCCTTCCATCAAATACTGCCCACAATAAGTACTCAAAATTACAAGGATCGGCCTTCAATATTGCTTGAACACGAGAAATTACTTCAGAATACATTTGTCGGCCGTAATTTATTCTCATCAGCTCTGCCACTCCACCAAGATATGAACCCCCGGAAAACGTACCACCATAGCTCACGCATACTCTAACACGGGTGCTAGCCATTCAAATAAGTGAACAACAAAAGGAATTAAAACGAAAGAAACAGAAAATTGCAGTAAAGAAGAATGGTGCAGACGTTGAATTGTTAGAGATCACTGTTTTTTTGCCTGCATTTTAAATGCACAGACAAAATCATCACCTGTGAAAAAGCAGTCAATTAATGAGGTGCGTAACTTATGCGACAGATATGCGATCAAATTCTGAATAGTCGTAAAATTTCCATGACGATATGGCCCTGCGAAAAAATGGCGCGTTACCGTCAATTAAATTATGCTTTATTCGATTTTGTTATGCGATTCTTCAATATGCGAGCGAAAAAATGTCGCATCATTGTCAATTATCCGGCGGATATATGCGAAAGTTTTTCGCATACCAGTAAATTATGCGATTGATTTGGATATGCAATTTCCAGAAAATGCGAATTCAACAAATAATGCGAATGATATGCGAAACGTTTTCACACAGTCATAAATTTGCAAGGTCGATATAGCCCTGCGAAATAAGGCGCATAATCATCGTAAATTATGTTGCATTCGATTTTGATATGCGATTCTTAAAACTGCGAAAAATATTCGCATATTTGTAAATTA